AGAATGCTTCAAATTAGCTGGAACATTAACATTGCATATGCAGAAGTAGAGCTTATATAGACTCTACTAAAAATTATTCCTTCTAAAAGAAGGTGTATGCATGACCGTTTCATTTCAGGATAATTTTTATCTTTTTGTTGATTGTCTGTATCCAAAAGTGAGACAGAAAAGCCTTACCCATTGTTAGAAAGATTGTCTTTAAATACATTCTTTCCCTCTTGTTTCTGGCTACCATTACAGAAATGAAGCATGAATTTATGACTTTAAAAAGAACCCCATTTCCTAATGCTATTTATGCCGGGACATGGCCACACCAGTCGCCATTGGCCACACAGATGGACTTTTGTCCTGTTGCAACGACAGGATGGATTTGGATGGTCCTAAATTCCTGTGCCGCAGACAATCCTGACAGAAAGATGCATTTCCAGCACTGAACCCTGGCATCCCTCAGTGCATACATGACAAGGAGGAAACCCACCAGAGCCGTGGGTGCAACTCAAATTAGCCTCAAGCTTTCCGGCTCAGCCACTGCCAGGGTAATACTGGAGCATGGACAGGACCCCTAGGGCCAGCAGCACACCCGGGCTGTCCCTGGGCTGCCGTGGGCAGGCAGCAGCCCCGTGACCCCCGGGAAGGTGCCAGGCTGGGTGGGCTGCCATCGCCCTATGGGGCTCTGGGTGGCAAGCCAGACCAAGCTGCCAAGACTATTATTTTACTGCGCTGAAGCTGCTCCTGGTGAACATTCTCGAGGCTGCTCTTCCCCTGAGGTCTCCTGTGAAGGGACCTGGTTTTCTGTTTGCCTTGGCTTGCCTGTGAAGGAGCCGGTTTCACTCACAGGGCTCAGACCCCACAGGGCCACCCTGTCCCCATCCCTTCTTAAGGAGGGCAGTGGCTTGCAGGCAGTCGCTGCCTTCCCTCTGCCTTTGGTGCAGGGCGCTCGAGTGAAATTAACGACCCCGAGAGGATTGTTTGCTGCCTCCCTGCGCGCTGTACGCGGAGGCTGTCTTCAGCCCCCACATTTACCTGCTGCCGTGGGGGCATAGTCACAATTATTTAAAAAAAAAAAAAATACTGTGGGTCTTTCCTTTCAAGACACATCAGGGCTGGAGTGTGGAGCCATGTCCCTGGGACTGTGTTCTGATTGCTTCTTCAACTTCTGTTTATACAATTTTAGAAAATTTTGGCAGGAATCAAGAGCACATACCAGGGTGTTGGCTTTTATGAATCCCATGGGATGTGAAAGTCAAGCTGACTGGATGAACTTTGGTTACATATTCCAGACAAGCACAATGACTCTATTTATTCAGACTTGGCAGCCAGAATGCAGATTGACTCTGTGGGTAATAAATTTTCACAGTCACAAAACTTCAGCAGCAACCAACCTGATCCCGCGCAGAAAAAAATGCATGCAAGGAAGCAGACTTGGGTTGCAAAAATATGTTAGATTATTATTCCATGTATGCGTACCAGTCAGTTAATTTATTTGGGTATTGATTGACATGAATTGCACAAATGATGCCAGGGATCTTTTTCCCCTTAAAGGAACTACTTTCTATTACAAAATTTTCATATTGTAAAAGGATTGGAGGGGGGGAAGAGAATTGTTCATATTACAATTGACAATCTCCTTTTAATATTTCACCCAAGGCTGATTTAAGTTATCCGGTGACCTCTACAGAGAAGAGCAGGGTATTATAATGGGGACTGTTTCATGTGCTATGCCACACTTCAAGGAACCAAAAGGCAATAACCACTACAATTCAGTACTCCTAACAATCTTCAGTACAATTTTGACATCTTCATGCTACAAAGCTTCAGATGCTTTCTGGGAGAGACGGTGATGAAATTCTTACTCTATGTGTTATAAATCAAAATGAATCTGCTCTTTAACTTGCAGATTTATGTTAACTACCTTGCTATCTGTTAATTGCATGCTCTTCAGATATTGATTGGGGATTAAAAAGTATATTTTCTTAAATCTGTGTGATGTAAAATATGCCAACAGGAAATTTCCCCTCTGCATATTAGATCCTATGATCACTGCCTGTAAAATTAAAATGATCAGTTTAAATGGATAAACTATGCTCATTAAAGAGGAAAAATACATTTATGTAATTAAAATTAAGAGACTAATATGTGTGGATAATGTAATTACTGTGGGCGCACACACACTCAGCTCAAACCCAGCCTCTGTTGCCTCTCCTGGGTCTGTGAATCTCAGCGCCTTAATTGCTGACGTGAAGGGAAGGGTTGGGAATGCCTTGCCCGCTGCGGGTCCCGAAGCTCTTAATCATGTCTCCGTCTTGCATTTGGCCTCCCTCACCCACGGCTCACATTCCCTGCGTCAGTCGCAGCCCTCCACAAGCCAGCCCTGGGAGCACAGGAGCACCTGTCCCCCGTCCTCGTGCCGCTTCAGAAACTTCCCATTCGCGCCTCAGCGACTCCAGACGCAAATGCAAAATCTCCTCCGAGCTTTTCAAAGTCTTTCCCCTAAGCTTCCCCGTTTAGAAATTAGCAAAATGAAAAGCTTCCCGGTTCTTGTACAGCTCAGCTTCAGCTCTTTGAGAAATTGGACTACTACAAGGAGTCTGGTTGCTAAAAGGTTAATTTATTACATACGGAATATCTGGGAATCATTCATGTACTATTCCTGTCCCTTCATCTGTGATTTCTTTCTTTCCTGTTCCCGAGCTCAGGAGGAAACCTGAGATTAAAGAGCCTCAGAATTAGAAAGTAAGAGGAAACAGGTCATCTCCCTGACATTCAGACACAGATCCACGTCGTAATCTGCACATTTATTGGCAGAGGGGGTCTGTGCTATTCTTTTTTGGGCCTATTTCCTGCCAGGTAGATGGGAACGTAGTGGTCTGTTTATCGAGCAGGCATATTAATTTAGGATTGTTCGTTAAGCAAACCTGCAGGTCTCAGCTGAGGTTCTGCAAAGCATTTCACACAGCAGGAGACAGCCCGTGCCTCCAGGAGATTTTTATCTGTACACTGAAGTTAGAAAAAAATGTGACCAGGAAAGAGGACCAAATCACTAAGTAAGTGCTGAAGGTTGCTCATGCTAGGGCCCGTGATGATTAGAAGTGAGTAACGGGATCTCAGCTCTGCTCTTTGCTGCGCGGGTGGCAAACTCTCTCCTGGCTCTGCAGAGCTTGTCCGAGCACTGAGGCAAAAAACGCAGGCTGTATCAGCTGTACCTTAAAGCTCGGGTTACTGAGCGAAGACCTTGCATAGCACACAGAACACTAGCAATCCAAGTGCATGAAAGATATTAATAGCTGTCAGTGGTAGTGCAAAACTGGAGGTACCATGTGTGCATGCCCAAATGGCAGTAATTTTCCACCATCCCTTCTCCGCCTAGATCTACTAACGTTCTTTTATTTCCTGCACGATATACATTTTCACATGTCTTTTTCTGCTTTCTATGAAGCAGAACTGGATTTCAGCGCTCAGGCTCTACCACCCTGTTCAACAGCGACATCCATTACGCAGGATCCCATCTCCCTTCCTATCTGAAGGACAAGCCACCTCTCTGACCGCTAGCTCTCCCCTCCCCTACCATCCAGCCCCTCGCTGCAACCACCACGGCATCTTGGTGTGCTATTGTTATTCTTCAGACATTCCTTCTGTCCCTCACTTGACTTTGCCCTATGCTGTCTATGCGCTGTATTTTAAACTATCTAGACAAGCAGAAAGAGTAATTAAATGTGAAGTGTTTCAGGATGAAATGCATTAAACAAAAAGAAATTGTATAAATATGTAAATAATTGAATCTATATGCTGCATCTTCTTAACACCAAGAAGCTTTGCTCAAAATAGATGAAATAATCATTTAGTATAAATATTAAAAGGTTTTGATTTACCCATTGTTCGGAGTATATTGCAAAATATAACTCTCTTAACAAGCATTAAAGAAAACCCTGGAAGAGCTTCATGCCTACATACCTAGAATCATTTGTCTAAAATCCTGAATTTCCAAAGTCTAGATAGCCCCAGTTACTCTTGATGGAAATAATCACATTTGAAACCCATGTTACATCCAGGTCTGCATTCATCTGTGAGATGCAACCAGGGGAACTACTGCCCTTATATGCTCTGGTGGAGGCACAGGACATTCATCTTAGTGCAAGAAGGAAGGGAAGTGGCTCTTGCCTTCTCATCCCCAACCAAATCATCCATATCAGAATATTGAGGAGCAGAGAGCATGCAATAGCACCACTTGGCAATGAGGGACTCAACTGGCCATGGGAAAGCCAAGATCCAGTCCTATTCTACTGAGTCATTATTTAGGTGAAACACAGCAATGCTTTATGGAAAAATTGGAACACACCTCCCCACACCAACAAAACCCATCTCTCCTGACACATGGAAGACTTTGGGTGATGTATCTGCTCCCGGTCAGGTAGTTTAGGGTCACCGAAACCCAGGGAAGTGCCTTTACTGGAAACCCAGGGAAGTGCCTTTATTGCTGTGTTATGGTGTGAACCAAGCGTACAGCCAAGGCTTTCTCTTAACTGTCGTTGGCTTTCTTAGCAGGCACGGGCCACGCAGAGACAGGACCGAAAACACTCAGAGGAGAGGCGCGGGCTGGGGGGATGCCGACGAGGCTCAAGGCAGGTAACAGGTAAGCAGCCCAGCGGCTAATTGTGCTGGCAGGGTTTGCCTGAACCCTTAATCCAGAATTCCTGTTTCTACCCTCCTTGGCTGCTCTCTAAAACAAAACAAAATCAAATCAGAAGTAGACTGATACAAAAACCTTCTGGGTCACATCAGGGTAATAAATCACGAGCACTGCAGACTGCTCCCCACCAATACAGCAGTTAGCACACGTGGGCTGGCTCGGAGCAGGAACATCTGTTACTCCAGTTACAGTACTGCCATGTATTTTGATAACCTTCATGTATGTTTTGAAAAAGCATTAGCAAAATATTTTCAGTAGCTCAGTCTCGACATGAAGCATGCTACAAGCGACATGTTAGTTGTCTGGCTCTTACCTGGTCATTCTCTTCTTCGTCGCTGCTTAATTTGAGGTCATCTTCTAACATTCTGGAAAGTAAGCAGTAGAATAAATTATAATTTACCAAAATGCTTTAGATCCAGTATTTTCTCTGAGCTACTGTAAACATTTAATAATTTAAATAAAAAGAAAATACATTTTACACAGTAACCCTGTAGATATGACACTTTCTTTGTAATTTTTTCCTATCCAGTTGCTATCAACTAACTTCTTAATTCATTTCCTACTACTGCTGCCTAAGGCAAAATGTTTACTGGAGTAATAATGGATTTTGCAAAGATTCTTGTTATTACAATCACCAACAAACAATTTTTATACGCTAAAAATAATATTTTTGATGCTGACAGGTCAGTAGTCTCTCTGAAAGGAAAATTTTGCTCCTTTTGGCATTGAGATTACAGAACAGAAGTAGGTATTTACACTGGCAGTACTGCAGCACACAATAAGATTCAATGATGTTTCCCAAAGGCCATTTTTTCTTTATTGCATGTTTGATGTAAAATTGACATTGACTGAAACAATTAAAACTAAAATACGTTGTCTCAGTGCACAAGAGTATCCACAAGGATTTCACTGTCATACAAACATACAAAATAATCCATCTTTTCTAATGGGGATTTCATCCTCCCTTCCCATATCCTTTCCTCAACTTGCTTAAACTGGCTCACAAAGAAGAGGAGTTTGTTTCTACCTCCATGTAATTTTTCTACAAGCAAGGGTTAAGTAGTCAGCAGTTAAAGGAGATGAAGAGGTGCAAAGATTTCCCCCAGTGCTTGAAAGGTCTTCAAGAATGGGATCTATTATTAAAAAAATACCTCAGCAATAATAATAATAATAATATAGAAAGTTGCTAATTTTTCTTGCATTCTGGGAAAAGAGAATCTGTAATTTCATCTTGACTCCAGAAGAAAGCTTGGTGAGCAATTCAGACACATCCTGTGACGTGGGTGGTCCCTGGAGTGTAAATATATCAAGAAGACATATGCAGTAATTTCAAACCACCTCCTTGTACTTGTGCCTAGATCTTCCAAGAGCGTGCCTGAAAAGCGTGACTCTTACATGGGCAACATGGTGTGCCGTGTCTTAAAAGAGCACCGAGCCTAACCCCCCTCTCCTCAGCTCCCCGCCACACGTACAGTGCCTGCCTGCTGCTGCCGTCACAGCTGCTTCCCTATTTCCCCACGGCACCTTTTGGGGAAGGTAGGCGTGTAAGAACAGGATCGGGGGTCAGAGCAGAAACTCCCACTAGTTCATCTCTTAAAGACTCCTGTGTTGCTTTTTTCTCCACATTTCCTTCTACTTGCGCCAAGAGTTTTCCTCTGTAAAACCAACACATCAAATTCAGCAAAATCTCACTGCAATGCAGACACCTCAAAGATATAGGACACCCATCGAGTTAGAGGGACTTGACAATCTCACAGCAAGACTTGCCCATGTTTTATCTGGAAATATGTCCACAGGCAGGGAAAAGCTCGCTCTGCCATCTCCAGAGTCAGCAAAAACTCTGATGGCCGTATCGATGCAGCCACCGGGCAAGCTAACAAGCCCTGCTGAGAAGAGGCAAAGCTTCCTGTAAACATTGCAAGATCCACATTAGCTTTGGATCCCACCACTTACAGGGATCCAAACAATCTTATAATTGCTCATTTTTTTAGTTAGATCAGTTTAGGGCATCCCTGAGAAAATAGTGCTTGAAAATAGAAAGCTCAGATCTGGGACTGGGCACTGTGTAACTAAGTGTGACAAAATCTGCACCGATGGTGATTTAATCAGAGAGGCATGTGCTTATTGTGGGAAAAGCAAAGCAGCCAGGGTGTCACTGCCTGCTCTCCCTTGAGTGCATGAATTTCTGCTAGTGAGGTTGTAGTTAAGTTACATTACTTAAGATTCAGCAGTTTACCTCTTCTCCTAAATGGAAGTCAGAAAATCAGAAGTGTATCATGAAATGTTCTAGGTAGCTCTATGCATTTATTAGTGTCCTGGCTTTTTGTATCAACACAAATAATGTGTACTGTGATTAGAAGAAACTACGATGCTTCAAAGCCTTCAGGGTATGTGGAGGTGTGAGTGGAGCTAAGATAAGGTGCCAGGAGTGCAAGCAGGAACCATTCACACAAAAGGAATGAGAAACCGCAGCGCTGGCCCATCAACCTCTCCTTGCGCGTATGTTTTAGCCCGTCTTTATTTTCCCTGTCTGTTTTTCATTTCACAAGCGCTGCTCTCCAAGAAAAGCACTGCCTGCCCAGGACTTGTGGCCCCTTCTGGAACTACCATCAGCGTACAAACAATCTCCTAATGCTGGCGATAGGAAAAACCAGGTCATCATAAAATGCTTGCTTGTTTGCTTTTTTTCCCCTAGAGTGGGATCTAGCTCGCCTGATCCACGTATTTGTCACAAGCACGTATCAGGTTAAGACAGCTTGCCATTGTAGAGGTCTACCTTGTAAAGGCAGGAGCCGTTTTCCTACTCTGCAGGTAAAACCTCCTCACCTAAAAGTCTTCACTGGTTCCCAGACTGCCTTCACTGTCGGGTGAGGCCCTCAGCCCTGATCTACAAAGCCACAAACAGAGCAGGACACACTGTCACCCTGGACTTCAGCTTCACCCACCAACAGTCCTGGAGAGCGAGGCTCTTTGGACATCAGGCAGCTCCCAGAGCCCAGGCTGAAGCACATTCTGGGTGAGGAGGAGGTATTTGTGTTAGAAGGACTCCAATTTGCAGTAAGCATCTTAAAGAAGCTAGATCGATTTTTAGTCTGGACACTTTGCTTTTGAGGAACACTCCTCCTTGACAACTCATCTCCATCATGACAATGATGATGGTTAAAAAAAAAAGTCCATAACTGGAGCAGCAGACACCACTTGAAGAGAGGGAGTAGAGAAGAGAAATACTTTAAGCTTACAAGAGGCATTACATTAATTTGTAATTTATCTGAAAAGCACTTTGGCATAGATTCAGCACAGAATAAGCTTTGGTGCACCCTGTGTTAGCAGAGCACTTCAGATCATGTTTAAATCAACTCCTGCTTGGGATGGAATTTCTTTACGTATTCTGGCAAACTAGTACAAGGATGGACAGACAAACACATACAAGCTCATGTGCAAACACAGCCTTTTCAATTACAGCTATTTGCTCTAACACCTTTTCCAGAATACGCAACATCCAGGCCAGTGACATCATCCATAGGCTCAAAGATTTTTCAAAATGGATTTGGCTTTGATGTAAAAAGATAAGTAAATGTAATTTTGTAAACAAAAGCTAGAAAAATGAAGCGGCGCTCAAAGCAGCTCTAAAAAACACACACCACCACTTAGGGCTCCTGCACTTGAAAAGAGTGCGTATAGTCAGGAAGTCACTTTGCAGAACCTAATTACACATTTTTAGTGAAATCTCCGCGAGGTCACGGAGGCAGTGAAGGGTGAGAGGCTCGGGCCGTAGCACTCTAATTAATGCATTTGTTCCTTTCTCCACAAAGAATGTGACAGGTAGAGATGTAATCAACGGAAATGAGGATGAGTTTGGGACATTGAGATAGCCCTCAGCAGGCCAGCTGGTTTCTTTCTCCAGTAATCAATTAAGGGGTGCTGGGCCATTCAGTTACAGTGGGAAAGGAAGGGGGTGAGGGGCTACTTACAGGTAATGAAAAATAGACAGGAAGTCTTCTAGAGTGCATCAGTATCCAGTATCTGCCGATATCCATGTGACCATGTGTCCAAATCTCCTACACAGCTTATTGGAAAGCCTGACGACCTCTTTCATGCGGGGGCTGCTCACTGCCTTGGTTCTGTGGGCTACCAGGGTGGGGTGACCATCTGGGGCACTACAGAGGGACCCTGCAGGAATCCTGCTCATCCCGGCATGTCAAAGGGCTAGGAGACGCTCCTGGTCAAAAGTAGCTGGGATTTGGGATAGGAGGCCATTGCAGGCTGCCCGGGAACCCCACGTTGCTCAAAGGGAATGGTCAAGTCGAGACTTACAGCTTCACTGTTTTGTCTGTCTGTCTTTTTTCTTGATTTGTTGTTGCTGGAAAGTCGTCTCAAGCAAGGGTTATCTTCAGCCTTAGCCAGAGTCCAGGGGGTAGCAGCAGGACATCTAGTTTCCCCTCCAGGAAGTAACATCAAAGTAACATCAAGATTCAAGTGTGAGTGTAGAAGCAGGGCCCAGGTCAGAGATTTTTGGGTTTGAAAGAGCTGGAGGAGAAGGAGCTGCTGGGGAAGGATATGTTTATGGTGCGGTGTCTGGGGAAGGCAGTCTTCAACAGCCACTTGGGAGTCAGTTGCAACTTTTAACACCTGGAGCCAGTCTGAGACCCTTCCAGCATAGCCCTATTTCAGAGGATATACATTTTCTTCCAGGGTAAAGACACAACCCCACCCAGAAGTTAAACTTCATGTCTGCTGCTGCGCATGGAAGAAGCAGCAGACATCACACCTTGGGTCTTACTTTAACCTCTGATACATTTCAAATTCCTTGGCCTAATGAATTCTTTCCTTTCCCCTGCAAATTACTCGACAAAAAAGCATCTGTGGTTTTGTTTTGCTATTAGATAGATTCCCTTTTGGCATGCAAATCAAAGGACAAGAGAAGAGGCCCTGAAGATTTTCAAGAGAGGTTACCAAAATGAGGGGCAAAACCCTCCTTGTGTCCCTCTGGTGGTCCAAACTACTATATGAGATACGGTCTTCATGATAATTTTGATAATGAGAACAAAAAAAGACCAAGATGGGAAAGGAAAAATATTGATAGTAATTAAATCATTAACACTAATGCTTTAGGAGAGAACATGCCAACAGTTTGCAAGCCTGGGGCACAAATGTATGTATGTTGCAATTGTTATTTAAATAAATTCAGAAGTCACCATCTTTGCAATTTGCAAAAGATCTCATGAATGTGTTAATCTGATCAAGTATATTGTTCCATTTTAATGCTAGGCAGCATCTCAGTCAGAATACTGTGTTTATTAAGGACCTTTGTGATTTCTGCTCGCTGTGTAGGAAAGGAGTTTCAGCAGTGGAAAAATACTTCGAT